AAAAAATTAAAAAACAACAAAAAGTCTAGTAGCGCCTTAAAGACTAACAAAACACGTAGATGGTATCATGAGCTTTCATGGGCACAATCCACTTCTTCAGATGACAGAAGTACTAGAAAGTACTAGATGCATGAAGACTTGAAGAGAGATCTAAAAGTATATAATTCTATTTTAGAGAGGAAATAATGGGGGGTAAAGTAGAAGTATACAAAATAATGCAAGGAATAGATTAGGTTAACTGAGTGCTTCAAATGATCTATTCTCAGAATACAAGGATAAAGAAACATTCAGTGAAACTGAAAAGCAACAAATTTAAAAATGATAAATGGAAATATTTTTCTGCCACTAGATATCATAAAAGAAAAAAAGTAGTATGATATTTTTAAAGGATTATCCTTTTATAAAGATAGGATTTAAAGAACATTTTGGAAAGGATATAAATTTCCATGCTTTAAAGCATAAGCGAACTCTTAACTGATGGAGATTTAGAAAAAATAAAACAAAACAAAACCTCCCAATAGAGGAAATTTTTATACCATACTTGTCCACTATGGGGTTTCTTGCACTTCCTTTGAAGCCTTTGGTGCCAGCAAGTTTAAGAAGCAGAATACTAGATTAGAACCATTAGTGTAATACAGTATGACAATTCCTCCAGCCAAAACTTTCAAAAAGCAACTCATGCTTTAATTTGTAGGTGTCTAAATGGAAATGTTTTGAAGGACCTTGAATTTCAAGAAAATAATCAGCATCCACCATGTGAAAATCAGTCCTTCTTCAGTAACCTCTAAATGATCAGAATTGGAGGCAGCACAAAACACTGCTGAATTGGTCAATGTTCCTTTGTGTAGTACCACATGAGCTTAAAAGCCAGCTGGCTTTTAGTGAAGGCTATAGAGCAGACTCATTGTTCTCTCTGTAAGTGGTCTCAGTGCCACTACATGGGACAATACACCACATCCTGCAGGTGTGTGGGTTACACAGTAACTTTAAAATCTTGGAAGGAATAAATAAGCATGTTATCCTAACTATAATCTCTAGTTGAGAAGTGTACATTTAAATATTTGCAAGTCTATATGTCTATCTTGTATTTTCCAAAACAAACAAAACCTGGTTAAAATACATACTACTTTGATAATCAAATGTTATTGTTTATAATTGCCCATGTAAGATTTCTAAAGTACTCAGTTTGTCAGTTTGTATTTGTTTTCTCATTTTTTTAATAATAAAGTTGGAAGACAAATCAAATACAGTCCTCCTTTGCAGAACGGCCTGTACCATTAGCTCTCTGGGGCAGGGACTGTCATTTACAGTATATTTGTACAGAGCTTAGCACTACGTGGTTGTGGCCAGTAAATGCTACTACAATGTGAATTATTAACAGTAGACAAGCCCTGTCCCTGCTGCCCTTATCTGAGTGGCTACCACATGTATGGAAGACGAGCAGCAGGAGGACCAAGTTCTGAAGGGACATAGAGAATCCTGATAGGCCACAGTTGCGACTTTATTGGGGCTTTGCATCTATTGGTGCTTAGATTTTACCCCACGGTCAGCTCAGAATCATTGGATTGGAGTAACCTCTGAGGAACTGTTGCAGCTGCATTATGACTAGAGCAGGGAGATGATTCTGCCCTGTACCCAGTATTGCGTCCAGTTCTGGGCCCCCCGCTACAAAAAGGATGTAGGTCCAGAGGAGGTAAACCAAAATGATTAGGGGGCTGGAGCACATGACCTATGATGAGAGGTTGAGGGATTTGGGCTTATTTAGTTCACAGAAGAGTGAGGAGGGATTTGATAGCAGCCTTCAACTTCCTGAAGGGAGGTTCCAAAGAGGATGGAGAGAGGCTGTTCTCAGTAGTGACAGATGGCAGAATAAGGAGCAATGGTCTCAAGTTACAGTGGTCTCAAGTTGGGGAACTCTAGATTGGATATTAGGAAAAACTATTTCACTAGGGCTATGTCTAGACTGCAAGCCTCTTTCGAAAGAGAGCGTCTAGACTGCACGTTGAACTTTTGAAAAAGCGGCTTGCTTTTTCGAAAGAAAGCATCCAGTGAGTCTGGATGCTCTCTTTCGAAGAAGCCCTATTTACATTCAAGAACGCCTTCTTTCTAAAGAGGAACTTTCGAAAGAAGGCGTTCTTCCTCGTAAATTGAGGTTTACCGCCATCGAAAGAAAAGCCACGTTCTTTCGATTTAATTTCGAAAGAACGCGGCTGCAGTCTAGACGCAGGTGAGGTTTTTTCGAAAAAAGGCTACTTTTTTCGAAAAAACCCCTTAGTCTGGACACAGCCTAGGAGGGTGGTGAAGTACAGGAATGGATTATGTAGGAGGTGGGGGAAAATCCATCCCTAGAGGATTTTAAGTCTGCCTCGACAAAGCTCTGGCTGAGATGATGTAGTTGATATTGGTCGTGGTTTGGGCAGAGGATTGGACTCAATGACCTCCTGAGGTCTCTTCCTGCCCTAGGATTCTATGATTCATTCTCCTTTTCCCTAATTCACCTACTAAGCATTCCAGCTAACTTGCTACTCAGGCTGAGTGCTGGCCTGCCAGCATGAAGTTAAATGCTTGAGATTAGGGAGTCCATGGTAAGTTTAACAATATTTTTGATGATAATATTTGTGTAAGTCTTATTCTGAGAGATGTTGCATATCATTTCCTTCTAAATTTAATCAGATTAGAGGGCACTCAGTGTTTCACAGAACCGGGGTTCATCCTGTTAAAGAAATAGCACAAAAGATCTCTGAGAACTGCTGCTTCAACAGGGGCAAGAACATAGCTTGATTCACTGACCAATGCTCTGGGTTACAAAATAACACTTCAACAGAAAGGAAATAATGGTTATCAAATGTCAAATGACACAAAGTATTGTTTCTATTTATTTATGTAAGTACTTAGCTTTCTCATTTCAAGGCAGATGAAAAAATATCAGTGATAAGAGAAAATTAAGCTGTCCCTTAATATGGGAACACTTTAAGGGAAGTGTTTAACTATGCATTTTTTTCAAATAAAAGCCAATTGCCATCAAAACAAATCAACAAACACCTATAATTAGAGACTTTCACAATACACAAATGAGTCACAATAATTATTCCTCTTAATTAAGGAATTTGGCAATGACTCAATACAATGAGAAATTGATCCAAAGTAAAAAGAGCCTGGTTTTCCATTCAGACCCCCTTGGATTCAAATAGTGTCCCTGTCGTGAACAGGGATGGGGAGAAGGGAGATATCTGCCCCCAGGAATCCGATTGCAGCAATAGGGCAAACTCTGTATATGGAGCTAAATATTCTAGATGAGCCAGGCTTTTGACTAGGCCCACACCCAAGGCTGCAAGCTGTGAAGTTTGGCTGGAGAACAGAGCTGTCCTTACCATATGCAGACTACACAGTTGCATAGGGCACCCAAAAATTTGGGGCACCACTGGGTCTTAAATGTCCATCCACGTGCTTTTTCCTATCCCTGTTCTGTGACTCTGCTTCCTCCAGAAAGGATCTAATTAACTTAAAAGTGAAAAAGCCTGCCTGGCCTATTAGCAGAAACCCCAGGTATATACTGCCAGTTTCTGAATTCACTGTGTTAGTCCACAGGTCCTTAGTTGGAAGTCTGTTTTAAAAATATTTCATTAGTGTGTTGCTGAAGATTATGCTCACATCTGTAACCTTGTAAGGCATAGGGGCACCAATTCACTAGTACTGAATAGAACCACATAAAACCTGAGGAGGGCCATGGTGGAGAGCCCAAGCTGCCCCAAGTTAGGCAATGTTGCAAGTTAAGGATCAACCCATCTCCATGCCAGGGGTGGCTAATGGGTTGTGTAACTGAGCAACGCACAACCAGAGACGCTTGAAAGGTCAGAGGAGCTCCTTTCCGGGCGTGAGCCAGGGGGCTCTGACTCATCCCGGGGGAGCGGCGATGAGCTGTCTCCTGCGTGACCGGGCCGCAAACATGATCAAACCAGGAGCGGCGGTGGTGGCCTGGCGGGGGGCGGTGCAGGTCAGAGAGGGCAGCACTCGCCCATTCCTCCTTCCCCGGGAAAGCGCCAGGGGCTCCGCTGGAGGCTTTGGGCCGTTGTCTGGCAGGTCAGCGCTTGTTTTGCTGGCGCTGAAGCCTTCCCCTCGCCCGGAGGGGGCAGAGACTGGCCCTGCTCCGGCTGCCCCGCGCTCCGCTCTAGCACCTGTTGT